GTGAAGCAAGCAACTTCTGTGGGCATGATAGAAAAAGCACATATGTCAATGTGAAATGTAAGTTTTAATACAGTTTTACCTCAGCTTTTTTGTCAGGTATAACTGGCTTTACAAAGAAACTTGTTTTAGCCTCGAATTCAGAACTGGTTCTTATTTTATTGAATTCAGTTAAATTTAGAAATGAGAAATGAATACAGTTAGCTAAGCTCCTTGGAATGTCACCTTTTTATATATACATTTTGTAGATATTTATGGTTATTTCTAGATGTTCTTGTTTCCATACATTCTTAAACTTTAGGCATTATCAGTGACCTTCCAGCAACAAAAACATTGAGTGCTTTAAAAAATTGGAGTATATCAAAGAAGTTTAACAGCCTACATTTGGTAGTGAACACCAATTGAAATACAACCTTTCAACTTGTTTGTTGTAACAAAATGCATGTTCCTATTTGTGGATTTTTTCTATATTGCAAGATGCTGGCACACAAGGTGTATGCATCAATTTACAATATGTTTAAGCAATGGTTGTGATGCTTACTTATGTTGCCATTTGTTTTATAGTCAAACCCACAAATGTCACACTGAGAGTCAATGAGACCAAAGTCTGTAAAAATTCATCAATATCATTTACCTGTAAGGCTAAAGCAAACCCTGAAGTTCACAGCTACCAACTGCATGTGAATGGTGTAAATAGTACTGATGAAAATTCAAATGGATCCTGGACCAAGACAATGTCTCATGAAGGGAAATACAGATACAGCTGTGTAGCTAATAATTCTGTTGGACACGAAGAGAGCAGTACTGTCATTGTTACTGTTATTGGTAAGACAAGCTGTTGCTGTTAGACAACGTGTCCATGTTTATCTTGTCCAAAGCTATGTGTTCCTTTTTCCATCTATTACAAACTTTTAATTGTTTTCAACATCATGAGGTGCCATTGTCTAAAAGTTTACTAACATCTGTCACTGTTCTCATTTGACAGCTCCAGTGACAATAGCAGACATGAAAAAGCATCATTCTGTTATAGAGGGCAGAAATTTGACTCTTGAATGTGTTGTGGCTGGGTCCTCTCCAAATGTCACTTGGACACACATAAACAGCAGTAAAATAAAGAAAGGGAAAACTTGGAATATCACGAAAATCACCATACAAGAACATGGAGGTTACATTTGTGAAGCAAGCAACTTCTGTGGACTTGATAGAAAAGGCACATATGTTGATGTGGAATGTGAGTTTTAGTACAGTTTTGCTGTAGCTTTTTTTGTCAGATGCCAACGTTTTCCTTTTAGGTGCAAGTGTTTTGACAGAAGTGCAGAAAAAAGTTTTAACATCAAAACCATGTTATATTAGGAAACTTCTAAGTGCACTCATTTGTATTCATTGTTTTGAGTGTATCAAAAGAAACTAGATACAGTGATCTGTGAATTCAATATCATACTTCTAGTGGAAATAACTGAAATCTAATTTAAGCTTAGAGGTGCGGCAAAAATATAATTATGGGGCGGTCTGTCTTGA